TTACTGTAATGCATATTTTATCGCGTACGATACATTATATAATAACAAAGGACCATACTATTTTATAATATTTAAGCATTTGAACAAATTATGTTATTCATTACAATAAATATGAATTCCCTGCAATAAAAAGCCCTCCACCAACCCTAAAATCAGCAACTCGGTGATCAATGCGATAAAAAAATGGTAAGTTCTAAGGGCTGAACTAACCTACGGCAATCGCACATCCAGCAAAGCGAACGCATGCTTGGGAAGCCCCTTATTGCTTTCCCACTACGCTTCTAAAAGTCCTACAGTGCTCTATAAGTAAAGGAACTAAGTAACTATTTTAGGTACAATTTGTAAGTAGTGGTTATAGTTCTCATCTCAAGTTCGAGGCTAGGCTAATCCCGAGTAGCGAATGCCAGAGCTACCCTGGCGGGCCCAAGTCTGACCTCTTCCGTCGTTCACTCGATCGGGATCAGTCAGCGACGTGACGTGGTGACAAATCCTCGCACATAAATCGTATGCCTACAATAGCGCAACGTCGAATTTACGACATTAAGAGCATTTGGTGTTACAAAACTGTCGTCGTCATTGCGTGCCTGCTCATCAATTTCACTTCGGACCATCTGTCCGACCCTCGGCGTTTGTTTCCAATCACCAGAACGATTTTCGCTCATCTGAAGCCCCTCTTTCTCTCAGCTGAAGCCCCTAATTAGACAGCTGACCGAGGAGGAAAACGACCTCGTCAAACTGCTCGAAGTGTTGGGAAGAGCTGAGCTCGCTCGGAGAGCCAGTAGCAAGCACTTCAACCCCACTCCATCAGAAATAATAAATGGGTATGGGTGGGGGTTAACGGGCGATTAGCACTGTTCCCCACAGCCCCGTTGGGTGTCACATTGCAGCTTCATTTGTGATCCGTGTCTCGGATTTCCGATCGCCATCATTATTATGGCTGTGTCTTTGTAACTGATTCGGATCGAATTACATGGCCTCGTCGACCTCTTGAGTAGTGGCTGAGCTCAGAAACTGGCTTGGCTTCATGTGGTTCATCTGTACAAGTGTTTGTTTAGTTTACGGCAGGCGTTTTATCTTCAACAATTTATGGCATATACACCGCCTGCACATGTGTGCAATCGAGACATCTTCCCAAGGTTCTTCAAGAGCTTCGTCAGACTCAATTTCCCTCCCAACATTTCTCGTTGGTTGTTTAAGCAAAGCAACTGTACTGGTACTCATTTCCCCGCCACTCTAGTGGTAGCAGTTGTTGCCGATGTCGGTTTTATGATGGTATGGAGAGCAGTGGTCAAATCTCGGGAGACTAGCCGTAGGCCACCACCTGTTAAGGTTCCTTAGGCCGACCACAAAGACTTGCCGGCTTGTTAGACACGGGACAAATCACCATCACACCTAGCCGTCATTTGCGAACACTGTACTTGCCAGAATATATCGCTGCAGCAGGTGGCCATCAGAGACACCGATAGGACTTGAACTTAGCAGAGCCTGGAAAGTTTAGTTCCCTGTTGGAATCACCCACTTCGCAGCCAACGGGCCGTAGCCGTTTCCCTCAGCTCCAATGGCGTTGAGAGACGATTTTTGTGTGCATATGTTGGTGTTGTAACAGAGAGGCGAAACAATCAACGTAGGAACATGTGTCTTGATACGAAACGAGGAGCTACTGGAGAAGTGATAATTGGCTCAAAGAAAGGTGAGAGAAATGCGAAAAGAGAGATGTCATGCAGCAATCACTGCGGGTGGCTGAACTCTTTCATTGCAGCTGATCAAGGATCTTTCGATCACAAATCACCAGTTCTTCAAATCTCGAAGTAGTGCAGAAGGTCAACGAAAATATGGTGGAGAAAACTCCGACTTTTTTAGAGTTTGGTCCTTTCCCTAGGGTTATTTCATCGAGGTTTCCTATCCTGATATATTAGCGCTCAGAAGAAAGCTTTAGTCAGAAGCCTTATCTTAAAAGTAGGAAAGGAATTAATTGAACTGCCTCAAGGATTTTCCCATCTTCGATTTCCACATTAAGAAGTGCTTGGTTCGGATTTCAGAAATTATCCAGATGAGCATGAGTCTCATACTGTAGATTACTCTACGGTAGCAGTTTTAAGCCTAGGATCTTCAGCCCTGAGATATAATGTTGGAGGTACATTCCGCTTGTCGGTTCTACTCGAAGTGAGGTTCCAAGAAAAACAAGCACTTTCTATCAAGAGACCCTTACAAAGGTGAGAAAACCCGTGGAGTTTGAAGCATCTCGATAACTGTACACGACGAAAGAGTTAACAGAAAGTAATAGAGCCATGATCTCCACCACTGACGGTTTTGGAGTGTACGGCAGCCCTCCAGTAGCTAGAAGTAGGCGAATTTATTGAGATCTTAAGATTTGACTTAGACTTCAAAGGGGAAGATATACAATCTTCAAAACTGCAGAAAAGTATCAACTGTAGCAGTCCTATCTTCACAGTGACGGTCCTCTCTTCACATCACTCTGCCTACCTTAGACCATCGGATACTGCTTCGATTCAGTTTTACCGCAGAAAGTTGCCTAGGAATGAGTAGCTTCTTTAAAAGCCGAACAAAAGGTCGAAGCAACGGTCCCGGAGTCGCTGTGCTCCCACAGCCTTTTCCCATCCCAACCTTTTGACTCCCATGGTGTCCGGTCGAGGTGCAAATCCACTCCGTAGCACCACCGTGATTTTCAATTGTGATAGCTCCAGATTTCAATCACTTTCGCCGGATCGCATTACGCAACCGCTGACCGGTGTCAGTGAATTTGAATATTACTGCGATTCTTCGAACGCATCCATCATCCTCCGACCATCACTCTGTTCAATCGCAACGAATGCGCGAAAAACCATTACTCAATGGAATTCCTTACGAACTACCGTATGCCATCTAATCAAAATTGTCTCAAGACTGAGGTTACCACAGATGACTGTCAATGAATTGCTGAATATAGCTGTACCCTCATAAAACTTGCTATAATGCAGCACCTTCTTGGCTGGCTATTTGGCTGGTCCGTGTCGAAATAGGATATTTTCGACCAGTAGCAGCAGTAATTCATTATTAGGGGTGGTGGTGGGTAATCGGCGAACGAGGGTGATGTGATGGAAGTGACAGGTGAACAGAGCCAAATGACGAGGGACAGCAGGAGTTGGACATCGCCCTTCTCCTCACTCCACCTACATTTTGGAGCTTAGCATCGTATAGCAAGCAGGCTTGTCTGCCATAGATGGGTCTACTTTCTCGAGCAAACACAAAGAGATGTTGCAGAAGACATTGTGTACTTGGCAATTTGATCCCTCGACGCTAAGCTGGATCACTTCGTCGTTCACTGAAGTCGTCAGGAATTTTTCGAAGAGTCTTACTTCCCCCGCCAATAAATAGGTCCGCAGATAGAGGAGCTCCGTATACTCTTGCTTGGTCCTTTATTAGCCAGAACGAGGAGCGCCATTAGTGCCGGCATCGTCATCGGTCGGACGAGTAGCAGCAACCGCTCACTAAGTAGTAGAGCTCACGCTACTACGAAACACCAGCGGGCAAATTGAGCGCCGAGAAGAGGGCTTAATTTCGCCCATCCATGCATGAAGTTAGAAAGGCGACGCCAAGTACTTGGTGCCAGTCCTTCGGGGCCATTTTCTTCTCATAGAATAAATCCACAATACTGTGGCCCATTATATCGCCCGTTAAGAATATAGCACTTTGACGCGATTCTTTTATGGTGGTCCATACGCCATTAGGGGCACATATTAACCCGATCGTACTCCGTAATTAGACTCCATTTGCCGCCACCCTTTGCGTTCAGTGAGTGTCCATGGACTCCTAAGCCATCATGCACCACCCCCGTCACCCAATTAGACGGTGTGGAATGAAGTCCTGCAGTCGGCCGAAACGACAACAGCAAACAAGCTGTTTACTGATTGTTTACGAAGATCTCAGGGCACGTAACACACATGCGATGGCGATAGTATGAGGGTTTGCTGAGTTGATGAGTTTTACTCGGCGGATTGGCTACGCTCGCACGATGCCCCGATTATCCACTTGAATGCAACAAAAAGGGCAATAATGCGGAAGGATTAACAGAGTCAGATGAGAGAACAAAGCACAGCTGATGATTGAGAGACAAGGTCCTTGAGAAACCCTTCAATGTCTCGGAAAATGAATGATTAGGAAAAATGAATCGCTTTTTCGGTGACAAAGCTCATATCTTTTTTATGTACTTAACAACTATAAATTGGAAGCTTGCAAGTTACCGACACGATGAATTACCGGATAGATGATTTCGTGGGTAATATCATTAAAAATTCCCTTTGAGTGGGACATTGTACAATTTCTGTTGATTAAGATGTCACCTCTGAGGTCCCTCAAAACGAACGATTGATCGATCGATCCAGTTGATTAATATCCTGAATATAAACTGAAATTTCAATTGGTTTGTGGGTAAGTTAGTTAATTGACCAGTTAAACTGGTTAATATTTTAGCAATCCAGTTCATTTTTCATTAAGCAAACGTTAGTTTGTCCAGTAGGAGTGGTGCCTATGAGAAAGGGTGTCGGGCCATTCAGTAGCCATCTGCGCCCTTTGGATCGAAAGTTCAGATGGTCAGATCAGATTCTCAGCTCCTATTTGCTTAAATCCCTCTTAGAAGACGATCTCGTGCCCAGTGGGCTATTTGACAACTAATTTTTTTTTAATTGCGTGGACAGAAATTTTTGTATGGAAATGATGAGAACATCAAATACTAGGCTGACTGATGTCCTTGAATTCACGAGAGCTGCTCATGTTTGAGCTATTAAGGATGTGGAAGGGCTTTGAGAAAAATGATTCCCCCTCTACAAATTATTGGGTGACTATTCGAAGTGATATCAGTTCCCTACATTCATTAATATGAGCCTTCCTCCTAATGAATCCCTTTAAAGAATACAGGCTTTCTCAGAGAAGATGACTAATGAGACCTTTCATCCCACTAGTTGAGATCTCAGGAAGAACTCAAAATTCGAGTGATTTACTTGTCATTTGAGAACCTTTAAATTGATGTCCTGGCATTCCTTAATCAAACCTTGCATGTACTTCAGTGGATACTGATTAGTTGCCCTTACCCATGAATCGAGAATCAAAAAATACTTCTCTCGGACTACATAAGGGCCTTTTTGGAGCCTCTTCAATAATTGAAAATTTCTTCATATTACTACTTCTTTTATATTTACAATTCTGCAGCTGTTTACATGCGACTATATAAAGTTGAAGTCTAAAAAAGCCATTAAACGCCGAAATTAATGTAATAATAATTGAAGATACATGATATAAGGTATATTATTGAAGATATATTATATATAACATATATAATTGAATCGCTTCAAATCTCAAATAAAATGAGATAAAAATTGAATTTATTTGCATTTCAAGGAAAGAATCGTTCTAAAACATTCCCAGTACAAAAGGGCGTGAAGGGCTCTGGATCACTAGTTAGTAACCTAGCTCTCCCCTGAACACCAGGTAGCTTGCTATGTGCTGTAGTCGACTATAGCCACCGGGTTTCCGTCTGGACAGCTCATTTTGCATATGTTCACTTGAGTAGAGCCATATTTCAAGAGTTACGAGCGCGATTCGCATAGTCATTCGGAAAGAAAGCCGACGTAACGTGGAAGCAATGAAGAAGACGGAAACCAACGGCGATTGTCTTCGCGAATCCCATGAGATGAACGACATGCACTTTCAAGGAAAACATCGTAGTACGAACAACAAAAACATCAACATCCAACTGACCTTCTGAGCTTTACAAGTTGCCGACAGTGCTTGTACATCATGACTGGCATGTTTGACCTCCTAGAAAGGGATATTTTTGAAAACTCTATAAGGTAAACTCAGTAGTAGGGACCAAAAATGTCAATAAACAACAACTTAGTGTTTATAGTGCAAAACAAAAAGTAAACTCTTTGGACGTTCTAAGCGTCCTGCAATGTGGAATGCAGAGTTGGTTCAAAGGCTGGAGGCGCTTCCTGACCTCACATAAGTGGCGAGATTGTATCTAAGCTGGGGTAATCAGAGGTTTATCACCCTCACGACGGCTGGATAGTGTAGAAGGTTAGCTGGGAGGTAAAAAACCAACTCAGACTTCTGCTGGAAGGCATGGGCCTAACACACAACTCTACAACGGCAATAATTCAGAGCTGCGAAGGTTGACATTAAGACATTAATTTTAATAGGCATGAATTGTTGATGTTCACAATCAGAAAGTCAATAAGTCCGTCTTATCCCAAAAGAAAACAAAAAAATCTACTGATAATGGGCTAAGACGCGCGCTCGACTTGCAGAAATTTAGTGCACGTAAGGACGTATGTGACACGGAACTACGATTTCAGGATGACAAGAAAATGGCGGCGTTTGAGATCCTACGGGAAGCGCCCGTGGTCAACCTAGTCCTTTCTGAGCGAAGAGACTTCGTTTGGTGGACGTATAAACCGATCTCCATATCGCAAAGCGATCAAGACCGTAATCAATGCCATCATACTTTGCAGTTTGTCGCCGCGCGGATGGGTTACATGCAGGTGAGATATCCCAGGGTTAAGCAACTATTTGATGGGAGTTACAGAATTTGAGAAAGCCTGAGATTTTCATAAACAAACCTGTAAACAAAGACAGCAGACGGCCGTTTTGCAGACGTGACAAAACATCGACAATGTCTCGCCCTTGTGTTGTGAACATCGCACATCTTTGATGGTCCGTGTCGGAGTGGACCGTCTGAACTCGAAAAAATCCCCAAGTGGGAAAAGTTGCAAACCAGTTTAGAATGTTTGAACAAACCTCTGCGATGCGTTGGTGAGCGTGTGTTTTGCCAGGGGTCCACGTTGAGGATGTAATGCGAGTTGACAAGGTGTGCAGTAGAAAATATCGCATTGCTCGCAGAAAACTGATGCCGGACGGACGTTCTCCTCACACAGCTGAACAAAATCGACGCTTGAATCACTGAGGCGAAACGAAACCTTTGATCGATTGATTGATTACAAATGTCAGGGAAATAGTGAATGGAAATGCTCTGTGCAGTAGAACAAGGTGGTCCATCACAGACTGCACTGCAAATTATGCCAATTAGGAATAAATGAGTTTTCTCCCCCAATCTGATAGCCTCGGAAATCCTGTCGCTGGAATAGTGGTCAGCTAGATGGCCACCAGTAGATGAAAATAAATTCTCGATAAGGTCTGGCACAATTGAGGGTCTACAAGCGGAAATGTTCCCTTCCTTTTTCTGCTCACCTGACAGTTGGGTTCCTTCTCGGCTTCTGTAGTGGTGGAAGGCTTAGTTTCTTTGGCAGCCAAGTGTGGATGTTGGCTGAGATAACGAGAGATCACGTTTTGTATAGCCATGTTTGCAGGTGCATTTGATATTGCCACTTCGTCGGCAAAATATGACGGCTTTTGACAGATACCTGAACTTAGAGAAGTCCTAGGACGATACCTCGGGCATGCAAACCTAGTAAACCTACCGCAGGGGATGATCACACCGCTTGTGGATGGGGTAAGAATATTTGGCAATCGTGGGATCGGCGGTCCAACCATAGAAGAGGGACGAGAAGCTGAAAGACTTGGTCTGGAACAATCTTCACCTAGAAATAACGTCGAGGTCATACCTCGAGTACAAACGACGCCCGAATCCGCTTCCGACAGTATGGACATCTTGTCGCTGTCATGGTCGGGATCGGATACACAAAGGGAACTCGTATCTGAGGCTCCTGGAAAAAAGAACAATTGCCAAAAAGATGAGATGGTGAGGGAGGGAACTACCGTACCACTGCTACTACAGTGAGGTGAGAGCGGTGAAGCGGAAAGGATGTGTGGGTAAAGTGGCGACGGACCAAGTGGAGTCGATGGTCGTGCCGAAGAGGACGGTTGCTGGGCCTGAAAGAGAAATATGGGCTGTTACGATCTCTAGTTGATGGTCCTGAATGTATTTGCACATTCATTGACGTCTGACTCTCAGATTCCTTAACTCTCCAAACTGCATGCTACCTATGAACGAATTCCGGTGCAGTTAATAATTTGGAAACTTTCAAGCTGAAACTTCCTGTCGGAAATTATCACAGTCGGCACTCGAAGCTTGGAACTCAGAAGGAAGCCGACTAAGTACGCCGAAATTCAAAAAAAAANAAAAAAAAAGAAAAATTAAGAGTCGGTGAACAGGAGTCAGATTACTTTGAAATTTAGATGATAGGTACCTTTAAAGCGCATCGTCGGCAATAACTATGTCCACAAAGCAGTAGGATCGGGTCTTCGAAAAATTTCCGGCAAAGGAAACACCTCAGTTCTTCCTCCATGACATCGACTAAAAGCGTTCGAGCTAATAAATGAGGCACTATAAACTATCCAAAAAAGGACGAGCGAATGAGGAAAATTGGCTTTCGTTAGCATGGAGAGAGATAAATGTATCGATCGAAGTTTTACATACGAAAATGAAGCAAAAATGAAACGGGTATTACTCTAAGGAATAGGTTATGACGACCACCAGATGGTTGTGGTTTCTTTTGGGACGCTCGGAGAGAACGATGGGAAGGCGCTTAAATGATCCATTAATAATGGAAGTTAATGGGCCGTTTCGTATCACCAAAAACCATTCCCAAGGCAAACATTCCCTTCATGGAAGCTCTGAAGCTCTCCGAAGTCGGGCGGCCGGAGACCGACCACCCTGGCAAACAATTCATCTATGCAGGAGTCGTTATGGAAGTTAACGATACGCAAACAAAGCTCAGGTTTTCCAGTCCCCAGACATAGACCAGAATATGGCGTGTGTTGGGATTAGATAGATTACGATGGTACCGAATGGCGCCAGAAGCGCTGAGGTCAGATGCTGGTGCAGCGAAAACGGTCCAACCTGCCATCGCCACCCCAGCGGGCTGAAAAAGGGAGAGCGACGAAGGCAAACTGGCAATTATTTCGAGAAGGGGAAATGATGCATGCTGTCGGACATTGGGACGAGAGCAAGGGCGAGGGTGTTGGGAGGGCCTCGAATGGGCGTCGGCGAGGAATGATGCTCTCCGTTCGTCCCTGTCGGCACATCGTTAACACATCTTTTGTTGTAGAGGCTTAGATCAACGAAAAACCTCTTCAATTCACTACTACGGGTTCGAAAGGGTGAAAAGCAAGTCGAAAGCTCACAGCGAGGGGGTGTCAGAGCACAATAGGATTGGGAACTAGTCATAAAGCTGGACACTAGGCGAGATCGAAGTGCTGACTCAGGTAGACGACAAAAAATCGTCTCAAAGAAAGAACGATCCCTGCGTCTACAAATGGAACGTTTCGAAAGCTCAGTACGAGATATACGTACTGGGAACAATAAAATAAATATTGATTGAGAATTTTGACGAACGAACAGGATTAGGAGAAGCTCCACGACAGTTGACAGCTTCAAAGATTTGCTTGAGGAAGAAAAACAACGGCCTCTCGTATTTAGAAATGTGCGAAAACTGAGACTACAGAATCATAGTTTAGGAAGGCTTCGTGGCTTTTTAAAGAAGTCTCAAAAAAACTACGAGAGGACGAGTTTATGGCGAAAACTGCTACGAAGCTTTCCATGTCTTGCCTTCCTGTTGCTCTTTTGATTAGCTTTTTTATTGTAAATCTATTTTTGTTCGAATATCCCAGAGGTCGGGAACGGTAGTGGGAGGACATAATGCGAGGGGGAGGAGTAGGAACAACAAATAACGAGAACAAGATTGAACTTTCTAGTTGTTCCGAACAGATTACGCAAAAGCTCGATAAGATGCAAAAATACTCAATTAAGCGGTGATAAATTCCTATTTTAATTTCTCCGTAGAGGTGAAATGAACATCAGACCAGTAACTATGTCCAACCACATCCTTATTAGTGGGTAACCCCTTTCAGCGTAATAAATAAATGAGTAAACGAATGCAATGAGTCGACAACAAAGGGCAAGACCCACTTCATAAACCCCCCCCCCCCCNTTTTTTTTTCTGCCGGAAACTCGGACCTATGTTGACAGTTGTCTTTTCTGGATCTCTGCTAATTCAGCGTTACCCTATATTTGAGGATTTATGTGATCCGAAACTGCCTTTGTCGCCCTAGGGGGACCACGTCCTTCATTAGGCCCACCCTTTGTTAGCCGGCCGCACTCAAAGAAGATAATTGAATAGAAAAATTACGAAATCGCTAGTACTGAGCCCGGTGAGGCAGTAGTGGAACGTAGGCAATGGAGGCAATCGAATTAATTACTCACAAACACACCTGCCACCTGAAAAAATTCATCAAACACCGTGGCAATTGGCAATATGGTTGGGCACAAAAAAAAGGAAAAAAGAAACGGACGGACGAGCGAGCGGACGGAAAAAGTACGAAGAGATGTTTTCGCTGAAAATCGGACGGCCAAATCGAGGCCGTCCGGAACGGAATCAAGGGTTGCTACGAATACCAATGACGTTATAATGGAGCAAGATTAGGGCCGGGGATAAACAAGAATCGGCAACGCTTGGTGGCTGACTGGTTGAGCCCTACGGGTTGGCTTGTTGTGGAAATGAGGAAACACTGGAGAGTGGGCGTATACCCTGGAAATCGCTAGGGAATTGGTTAGGGTAAGCAGATGTGCCAGGTAATAAGAAAAAAGCGGCTATTCTGGAGGGGGATTTATAGAAGGGGAAAGTACCGCAGAAGAAGCAGGAAAGGCAAAAAAAATTGCAACAAAAAAACCTAATTAATCACAATCCGCTTCCAGTGAAACTTCAGTAGTAATGTCACGGTCGAATAAATCCTCAGTGGATACCTTGACAGGATTAAGATCCCACGTAGAAATCAATACGGCTGAGGAATTCGAGAAGAGGTTGCAGAACTGCTGGCGACAGGCCAATGGCACGGGGAGGAGCATGGCTATCCGTCGCCACGCCCACTCCGGGCTCGGGAGGTAGTGACAGCTGACCGCTACGATCATAGCGGCAATGGGAAACGGCACCCAACCGATGTACGACGAATAAACAGCTTGCATGACAACAAATAAACAAACAAGGAATGTCGCTTGATGGGGATCGAAATGTTTGGCCATAGGTCAAATGTGGGATGTGGCAGTTTCGTTACCCTTCATTCTCCAGTGAACCTGTCGCCACTCACCCATTGCTGCTACCGCAGAACCCAAACCCGGATCCCACCGGTTGGACGATTAGATCAGTTGCAAGGGACTAGTTGCCCAGTGATATAATTAGCTAATGAACCCGGGAGTCAGAGGCGCGATAAACAAGCAGAATTTGCATAATTGCCCGAATTCTAATTAGGCGTCGCCGACCATAATCGTATGATATGGCAATTTCCGGATTCCCCAGTGAACTGTTGTGAGTGCGAACGCCTCCCGTATAGGCTACCCGGACGAAGACAAACAAATAGGTGAACCCACCCCTTGCTTATCCGCTACCTCCCGTTCCAGTCATATCAATGATGGTTTAAATGCTCGGAGTTCATTTATTTTTCCTGGGAGATCTCATTTTGAATAGAGTTGGGATCTATACCCCGATATATCTGACACACCTTCAGGGACAGCACCATCTCTCTCCTTCATCGAACAAATACAAGAATTTGGAAATGGTCAAGCCGAAGAGGGAATCCATGAAGAGGCTGATATGTTGTGAGTGTAGGAGCTCTGGAGGGATTGTGGGGTCAAGCGTAAAGAATTGGAGAGTTTCTCAATTATTCTCGAAGACTGCTGGGTTCTTAAACGCAATGGGAATTCTACGATATACTACACGGTATGTGGGATCTGATAAGATAAACGCTGATAGCTGGATCAATCGGATAAAAAGACAGATAATCGGCGAGTTTTTCGGCATCACAAAGAGCGTTCTATTTCCGTAGAAAAGACCAGTTCGTACGAACATACAGTGTTCCGGGGATTTCTGCGCTTTCCCAGGTGTCTACAATTTATCACCATGAATTTTACCCAGTATGAAGTCATTTTGATCTGGAATACTGGGACGGAAAAGGGCCAGCTAGTAATTAGAATTAGTCATTTTTTATTTATTCTATCGCGCGTTTGTATTACACATATGCATATTATACAGTACATTTTTTATTACACGCATGTATAAAGGACAGAAGGATAAAGCTGATCCCGCCTTAGGGATGCGTCGACGCGTCTGGCTTGCATTCAGAATCGTAAGGGCTTATTGAATGCCTATGTGGCCTGTACAATGACTTGCAGTGGGCAGCCAATGTACAAGCCAGAGCTTTTATCCTCCTAAACAGTACTCGACTCCGAAGGGATGGAAGTCCAGATTGGCCTGGGCGGATATCTATCCGGGACTCCACCTGTGATCATGCGTGCGTGACAGTGCGCCGCTTGTCCCTACACCACCTCCGCCGCCGTTGAATGCATGTACATGCTATCTCACTCTACATTTGCAAATGGTTCTTCATTTTGTTATCGTTCCTTCATTGAACCTGAGGGTTTTGAGAGCACAACGGGTTCGATTTAGTTCTAACTCAAGAAGAGTATTGCGCTAATTGATATGATTAGAACTGGTTCAATCTTATTGCTGTCTACAACTAAGAACAGCAGTCAGGAACCTTATCCAGTTGGAAGGTACGCTCCCTTGTGAGTTATGCAAAAACTGGACCAGGAAAACCCACGGTAAGGCTTTCATGACATCAGCTTGCAAGCAACAATGTGAGCTGCAATCTGACTATTTTTGACTTTGTTTACATCACAGTGGAATATATGTCTCTATCAACAACTAAGGAATAAACAAGCAAATATGGTATAGAGAGGCTATCGAGGACGAAAATAGTACAAATGCTAAGAAGCCTGGGCTCGAGAGGTCCGGACTTCGGTTCACAGATGCATGGCTCATGCCGAAGAGGCTAATACGCACCCTTTGTTTGGAGTTGCAGAGCTAATCGGAAATACCAAAGATAGACGAGATGATTATTCATACTCTTGTTCGAATTGCACTTCTCCCAGATAAGCGAAAAATGCTCGAAGCCTTCTCATAACTGTACAGAGCCCGGAAGGAGACCTCAAATTCACTACATATATCTCGGTTCCCATGAGTCTTTCTCCTTTATGGAGCTCTCAGACATTTTGCCTGCAGAAATAGGCTTTTTAGGCGCTTCAAAATCAAATCCACTCAGTCTTCGTCTGAAACTTTTTTGGAGGTGATAAAAAGCTCTCAATCTTCGTGCAACCGAAAAGGGCCCATTTCCAGCCGATCAAGGCCAGGATTCAAAAACATCCCAAAAAATGGATGTCAACCTACGATCAACTACTGTCAACTGCAGTATGTGACAAATTCAATCATCGCCGTCGTCTCTCAACGGGCGGTCCCCCTATAGACACCTGCCGCCGAAACTCACAGCCGGGCTGACATCGTCACCAACACTGTGTGTCGTGTGTACGGTCGGATGGATAACAGACTTTGACAACTGGTGAGTTTTTTTCGAATTGCGATGATTCTCTCCGATTCAGATGGCTATTAGGGGTAATCGCAGTGGAATCTGACTTCCGACCTGGAACCGTTCAAAGGGATCCCTTTTTGGATGTTTTTTCTTGATGAAGTATGACCGTTCGCTCGACAAGGAGAGGGCACGGTTTATGAGACAACCCGGCCACTTTCGATACCTCGCTATACCTTTTGGAGGCTACATATATCTATTCCTTGTCAGCGTGGCTGAGAGTTTCTAGGATTTAGGCCAACTTTTTGAGGTACCTTGTTCATGGCGCATCCTCGATGCCAATTGTGTCCGAATATAAGCATAAAATGCCTAAATCAACAAGTACCACGCAGACGCAAACCGCAAATGGGGAATTTCGAAATGTAGATGCAATAAGGAGCAAAATAAGCACGATTTCAGATACAACATTTTATTCACGACATGTGGTTCTGCCTGTCGAGCGGTTTTGGGTTGAAAAGAGCACGAGTAAATAATTATTAGTAAATAGAGTTTTTGAAAGAAATGATATAAATCAATAGGTCAAAGATTGAGAGGATAAAGGCCAGATTTAACTTGTTGTGACTTGATGTTCTTGTTAATTGCTGTTTTTCCGTAGTCGTCAGCGATGTGAAACTCCCGCAGGGTTGGGTTTGGTTGTGGGAGCTCAACACTCAAGCTCGCACGGGGGTCCAACCTGTGCTTTCCAGACAGCGAGCTTTTTATGCTTCACATCTCTCTCCCTCCTAATCCCCGTATCCCAATCGCAGAAATGCCACCAGGAAAGTGAGGCAAACGGGTCTCGGCAGTAACAGGGAAGAAGAGTGCACATAGTGTACTGAGCAAGCGGAGCTACTGGCTCGCATCTCCTCCGAGGCTGAGCGTTTTCCACAAAACTTGGAAACCCTGGAAAACCAAGGTTTTTCTGTCTCTGACATAATTCACAGGAAGAGGAGTGGGGGGGGGGGGACGAAGTTTGTGATGTGAACTCTACGACGAGATTACTGTCTTTAAGGTGTTGGCGTGCCAGGAAGCATTTGGTTCATGAGTAGTTTAGAAATGGTAACATACAGTTACGAGTAATTTCGAGTAATATACGACGGGGACGAATAGAATAACTAAATGTCAAGCATGGGGCAGAATTCCAATGCAATTGCAGCAATGGTAGCCATCAACATCCGCGTTTGTTATTCGCCATTCCATGTTTTTCGAATAACCCAAAACTCAATAAATATCGCATTTTAAGCATTTCCTTTCAGGTTTGCCCACAAATATATTGAAAAGTGGCAATGAATTGAAATCTCCTGTATGCTGTAGCCTCCTTCCTCATCTCCCTCGTCCTTCCCACATTGTTGTTGTTGTCAAGTTGAACAAATACTTTGAAATGCAAAGAGTTGACATACGGGCTATACTTTCAGTAGATACAGCTAAATGCTGAACTAACCAGTTAGTAAGGGTAATAGTAGGAAAGCAAGGGAAAAAAAGTGGAAAAAGTTCTTAACTGCCATCACGGTTGAGAGGAAGTGCATTGAATCTGGAAGTCACCCATTAGTGTCCAAAGGCTTCCATGACCGAACTTTTTTGACTTCTCTATGGAAACCGCTTTTGTCAACAAACCATAAAGAACTACATGAGTCACGCGATAGAAGCTGTGCCTCTAAAATAGCAAATACTGCGGAATTTTTGATTCTTTCGGGTTAAAAGAATTGGATTCCAAACAGGATCACCCAGGGTGATAATGAACACTAGGGGAATTTGAGGTATGCTTCGTTTTTCGCCGAGAAACATTCATCTGTGAGAGAAAAATGAGGAAGATAATGGCGACAGAAAGGCTCATACATCAAGACAAAGCCATCTTAATGAAGTGAGTCGTCATGTGAATGCTAAGCTCGACACTCTCAGAGACCTTCAATTGCTTTTAGTCAGCTCAGGGTGTGTGAAAACGACGACAAGCAAACGGAGAACCGAAAGAAGTTCGTGAATGGCCACAAAAAACACAACGGACGTTGTATTGGACGGGCTCAGAGCTGCCCACATACTGGAATGTGTCCTGTCCGAAATGAAAGAAACCTTGCGATCCATTTCAGTTGGCGAAACTCCCAGTGGGAAAAAAACACTGCAAAAAAGGATGCAAGACATGATCGAACGAGAAACTAGCATGAATTTCTTCTGAGTATTGTCGGTGCACATTATTCAATTTTTGAAGAATATTCAACGAAGACAAAATTTCTACTAGTAGTGAAAAGTTGTCAGAAAAAAGCTGTTCCACCGTCAAAGGCAGTTTCCACTGTAAACTGAATTCATGCAAGGTCCGGGCCAATTTCGAAGTTCAGAAGGAAAAACTGGCACGAAATTCTAGACCCACTAGCTCAACACTAAGTAAGGGATCCTTTTCTGTCAACTTGAAAAAGAAGTCTATACTCTTGAAAAGTTATCGGAGAAAGTATTCTGAAGCATCCTGATCGTCAGAATTCTCACCATTTCGTGTCTATCTAGAGGTGCCTAGTCATAGGAATCCCCTTAATTTAAATTGAATTTGTGGCTAGGTAAAGTCGGCCGTAGTCTAGTCGTATGGGATTCCGAATATTCCGTTTTGCGAAGGCGAGCAAGGTTCTCAATAATAGGAGTTGGTAAAGTCTACAATTTTTTGTGTTGATCCCACTTTTTTAAGCATGCCATATTCGGGATTCTTCCAAAATCGTAGTGGTCTTCGACCAATGTACCAGTCAGTACTTTTATTTGTCCAGATGGGTCTAGTTCTGAAACAGTTAATGAACCCCACAGAGATGGAAGACTTGTTTGTTGAAAGGCGTTGAATGAATAGCATAGTTTGGGAAAAATTGAGGGATAAGGTATTGCAATAATCAGGCCTTTTCGAGACGTGTGCTGTTCCTACCACTGTTAGATACCACTCAAGTATGGCAGCAATTACGAATCAAAAAGTGGCCGCCTGGAGGTGCAAATAGGGCGCTCGGCCCACCCATTGCTTTTTGACGACCAACTTACGTCACTTGCAGCATTCAATGACTATCAGGAGTGGACGTAGTTTCTGCGATTGCATAGAGACGCTATCAAGATAAAGCTGAGACTAAAAAGAAATTCGAACCATTTCAGTCCTTCTAAATCAAATTGTATTGAACTGTTACAGTGCAGTAGTACCAAGGTAGGACAGAAAGATGAGAGCGGGTGATTCCAGATAGCCCCCACCCAGAGAAAGGATCATTCAAGCAAACTATGCCTGACAACTTCCTATGGTCGACCGATACCCATAACTTCTAACGCTTCCTCATCTATTTATCCTTTGATACGCAGATTCGTCAGAGTCAAGCCCCTGGACTTGGAAGACTTTGCAAGTAGCCTTTAAAGAACACCTAACACCCACCTCCGGGCATCAGGTCCTCCAGGTCAATAATACAGTTGTCACCGTCCTTACTGAGGTTACCGAGGAATTCAATAGAAATCAAACCTAACTAAAAGGCGCTGCATTGGAAAATGTAGAGTGAAGCACTCGTTGTATAGTTTGTTTTCGGGAGAGAGAAAGGAGACTTATTGGGTCTGAAATTGATGGACAGAGATATACTGGTGCGTTCCCATCGACTCTTTTACGACTTTACAACTTTTGAAATAAATGTCCCTCCCATATCATATCATTTATCAACAGCGACAACAAACAATTGCTGTTTCTCAGCTACGGCGAGCGTGGCACGGAAAGAAGAGGATAGGGAAGTGGGTTATGCATATCCACAAGGAAAAAAGCTGGACGATTCACTACGGAGGAGGAGAACCGGCCCACCGACAAGTATACACGGTGGGTATATGTACATTGCCTTTTCCTATATCTACTGAAATCTTTTTCTGATGCCAAGTCGTTATTGGAGAATGGTTTAAGTGAATGTCAATAAATAAATAAAACTTGACATGGTTCTATCGACTGTGAAGTTCCAATAGAACTTCGCTTTATGTCTGAAGAATCAGCAATGAGAGACAGACACAGCGTGTACAACTTGAAGTAATAGGTACTTCCAAAAGTAGCTAACCAAACTCTCCACGGTCTCAATCCCTTTCCGGGGCCTCTGTTTCCATTTCACCGTACCCACTGATCGCTCTATCAGGATTTGTAGATATGTTAGTGGAATTTCGAAGGTCTTTTTTTTTTGATAATCACCTGCCACTGTACTTATTCGTAGGGAGATTCCAAAATAAATCGAGAACTATCCGGGGAAGTGCGTGCTCGTTCAGTTTGAAACTATGCCTATTACTTGTCCCAGATTGGTCAAACTGCCCGATGGGATGTAGCAGACTAACCGATTTGTCTAGTAATAGGTATAGGGCCGAGAAGAAAAACAGAGTAAATGACCCAAAGTTAGGATTTTTGAAGCGAATAGTTATATGATAGTACTATACTATAATACCAGATGACCCTGTGGTACCTCTTCACATCTAGTGACGTATTGCGCATATCCCCTTCTTCTGGTTCCATGCAAAGTCTTTCCGTCTGATCCAACTAGGGCGGTCATGTCAGACATGCTTTAGCTTTTTCTGAGAAATCGTACAGCCAGCCGATCGTAAGCATCGGCTCCGGTTTAGAGGCTCGTAATATCGTTGTGCACATGAGTAGCTCGTTATCTGTTCAAAGCTTTACGAACATTCTGAAATCCGCGTTCCGACGTTTCACATTACATCCATCATAACCCGACGGCGTCAGTCCATCTCATCGGTGACTGACGTTTTTGTCCACCGTATCGACTTCTTTCTAATCGCCAACATTTAATCAACATCCTATTACCTTCCATTCATCAGAAAAACGTTGATTTCTAATGAAAATGAATTGGACGGATATCAAAATGATTTAATGGAGCATGGGCAGAAGGGACTGGTAGAAAAAGTTGAGGAGCCAGAGCGATGTGTGACTGTTTTTAGCGATGAATTGATAATTAGCGGATCTGCAAAGAAAGGTGCAGACGCTGAAGCACATGTCAAGTGTCCGAATTGCTGGAAGGTCGAATGAATGGCTCCTTTGAGAGGGAATGACCTGAGGAGAAGTTTCGTGACGTGAAGACTGAATTATTAATTTCAGTCATTTGTCTGAAGAAACTCGGACTTGCGAAAACCCAAGTGTGTAAAAGCAAAATTGACTACCAGAAGCGGTCATGCGGAATAGCCACATCTCATTCATTGAAACTGAGTAACTCATAGTAGCTTAAAGAGATCGGAGGATTCTGTTGACCTCTTCTAAGGGCTCCTTTTCTAAGAGCTCAGCCATGCTTAATACGTCTGATGGTGAGATGGAATGGTGAAAAAATTTTCCTCGAGCTCTTAGAAAAAGTAAATTTGAGCGAACGCGCTCTTTTTTAGAATACTTCCCCTTTTCTTAAAAAAAAATCCCAAATTTGCTGCTGATTTTGCCACGACTAACCTGGAGCATAGGAGCAGCCATCAGCAATTCGTAATATACAATTTTTCAAAATTTAGCGTCCACAAAACGGTGATAAGCGAAGAAAATCACGCAGGGGAAGTGACACCATCATGAACCCATCCACAAAGCCAATATGGACTCAACAGGACAATCAAAATACTTCAAAGGAGCGACAGGTGGAGACTCGGTTCAGAAACCATGAAGATGATAGGGAAGCTCCCCATCCCTGAATCTTCTTCTCACTCCCCACACAGAAAGCTCAGGACCCAGCATTCTGAGGTGTCCTCCGTCTCGAATTCAGCTCTCAGCTTCTTTTTCAATTAATCTCTTTCACAAGCGCCTCGTAGTCTGGGACTCCCACAGCGGCTTTCCAACCGTCACATTTTTCTTCTTATTGTTATTGTCATGTAGTCAGGCGGTATTTATGTGAGCATAAGTTTGGCTGTTACACTTCGTAGGCTTGTTCGTGTTACACGAACACTGGAATGACTGCACTGCACTACGGTATGGCCGGGTGTACACCTAAAAGTCATTTTTCTATTATTGATTCCAACGAGAAAGCAAATAAACGTGTAGGGAGAGAGACCTGCACAGAATAGCTCTGGAAAATATATTTCAGTGATGAATGATCACATACATATTAGACGCCTCATCGAGGAGCGAGCATTTCGAAACTCGTTTTACCTTTTACGACATTATTGCATCGTATGAAGGGCAATTTTCAGCCTTAATGCTTGACATTTGAAAATCGTCAGAGGGTAGGGTCCCTACGGATGTACTGAACCCTGGATATCCTTCCCTTCAAGATCAAAATCTGAAAGGTCCGCGATCGGGGCGGCATCTAGGGCGATGCAGGCGATTTGCAGTATTCCAAATTGGGGCCAAAAAATTGAAAAGGGGAGTTTCTAGTGTCCGCCAGTATTTTCATATGAGCAACATGATCGACTTTTCTACTGATCTTAAACTTGGGCCATCATAAAAGGAATATGTGCGAGAAGCTAGAGGAGGTGAGTAAGGGAGAAGAAAGCAAGTGACTCAGTGAGTGGGAAAACTTCATCTGCTTGAGCAAATGAAGTGAAGTCGTGATGAAATGCATAAGATGAAGCACTTGCTGCCATCGAGCTTGTGCCTTTCACTCGTTCCATCGTAAAATGTTCGCAAAAATTATCCCGTCGGGAGGCGAAAAATTGGCTTTGAAGGTAGAAAATTGCCTTAGTGCGCCGGTGCTAGTTAGATAAAAACGAAGGGAAATTCCATAGCAATGAACTTTCACGATCCTCAAACGAGGTTAAGAAAAGCGGCGATAAGAAGGGGTGAGAATGTGTCTTTTTTGAAACTTTTCGAGCAAATCTCACTATTTTCACCTCTTAAATTCCTTTCTTTTCGCCAAGAATGGTAATATTCACTGCGTGACCAGCATTTTATCGCCGCTGGAGATTCTTGCCCCTTTTGTTTTACTTTCCTTTAATTTGCACTCTAGATCGTGATGACAAGTGAGAAAAACGAAAGAAACAGTGCGGAAGAAAAAGGTGAAGAAAGACTTTATGAAGAGGGCTGTGAAGGTCATTCTAGTGATGACCAAAAAACTGATGAAAGAGCTAAAAAGCTTTCAGTCTCAGCAGATGCTTTCAGAGCGAAGAGGATTTAAAGTGCAACGAAGAAGAGCTGACGAAAACGAAAGCCGTTCGATCAGAGAAATTGGCACTCAACCAGCAACCTACCGCACAGCTTGGAGGAGGCGGAGCGAAGATGGCCATTTCCATGGGAGGTGAGAATTAATAAGTGGGACGGAGCTAAATCCATCCAAAAACATGACCAAAATGGACCAAACACATACCCTCAGGCAGGAATCAATGCTCCTTCCACGTCGTCGGGGAGAACCACCGACTTGGCCATCAAAGCGGCTGCGGCGGCCTCGCCTAACACAAAACGACTATCGTTCACATTCTCATTTATGGGAAGAGGGCCGAATTATTTATGGAGAGAGTATGGCGAAGCGACGTGCGAGCAGATGTTCACGGGAGGGAGGTGTTCTTTAGGGCCGACTGCAATGGGTGGGTGGTTTTGAAGCAGCGGGCGAAGAGTGAGAGATGATTGAATCGTCGGGATCACTCGTGGATAATAAAGGCCTCTTCAAAACGTCTCTGCTTTTGAAAAAGCCATATATCGACAGAAATGGAAAGCTAGGTCGGTCTAGAAGGCCAGCTGTCTAGCTATGACTACTGCTTTGTTTCGAAGGTTCTCAAAAACAGGGCTAACTTTAACGATACTGGTCTGAAGTATCTGTTGAGTGCTACCCAGTAAGCAGCATTACTCGGTAAGGAACAGAGTGAGCCCTTTTTACTACCGAAGCTCAGATTTGAATCAAATCTTGCTATGCAAAATCAGCTCGCACCCTTGAGTGCCGATTGAGTGTCGGCCAATTTCTTCAGGAAGAAAAAGGACTTTTCCATCACTCGGCTTTTCCATTTCATTTTCTAGTTAAGATCTCTATTCGCTCGAAAAAGCCTTGGTGAAATTCGAATCGCAGCCTAGCTCTGCAGTATGCTATCATTTAAAATTTCCAACTGTAACTGGGGAACTCGAAACGAGTCAATATCCACCAGGGGCTCAGCCAACTCTTGCTGACTTCAATTTTCTGCTCAGTTCTCGATTTTAAATTTTTCTTGTATTTATCGATTTTTGAAATCGAAAAATGTCCTTAACCTACTCGGGTATTTGTCGGAGTGATGCGTTAAACATTACTCGACTACTGGGGAGTAGCTCGTCACAGTTGCTTTTTTCCAACAAAAATTACAATGAATGTTTCTCCGAAATGCATACTCATCGATGATGAACAACATTCGACACGACATTTGACAAAACGCAAAAAAACCAAATCAATCAGTCTCAGTTTACTCCCTTACAAATGTTTGGAACAAAGCAGGTTCACCTATCTCTCTCCATGTTGTGGCATTTCGTTGAGGTCAAGATAAACAAGTAAATAAGCTCATAAAGAACCCTGCCCAGGTAAATCTCAGGTAAATGTGAGCAAGTCAGGGAAACGACTGAGGACCTTCTATGTGCACGATGAGACGGGTTTCATCCGAAGCAATTAAGTCAAGTTCAAAGGCTCATCAGAAGGTGAAAGGGAGAAAGATGGGTTTTTGTTGCAAAGCAGTCAAGAGAATTAATCAGCGGTGCACTTCGAATTGATTCCTTTTCAATTTCACAGTGAATGCTAATTTAATGCATTTCACCACTTTGCCTTGCATTATAAATAAATAAATAAATAAATAATGAGACAAATGAAGAAGTAAGACAGTGGACGATTTTTTCAAAAAATTTTAACATCACAGTGCAGTAGTGGGTGTGGTGGGGAGAAAAGCAGCTCCTACCCGGGGTGACCGGGAATAAATTTTTTTCAAATATCCTCCTAGTACATTATTCAGAATTATATGATCAGAAGGGCATGTAGCTTCAAAGCTAGGAGCTCTCAATGTAACTGCATATGAAGTGTAAAGCAAGGTATTATACTATAGAAGATCGCTCCCTAGTACAAACCTATCCCTCATACTGGGTCCCGTTTGAGGGATGGGCAGTTGCATCGGTCAGGCTTAGCAAACTCACTGCATTTCAGTTTATACTACCTCAGTACTGCTGTTTTTATCCATAGTGACCAAAAACGTTGGTCGATGGAGATGACCTTCGGTATCATGTTCTACGAAAACCAGGCAAGAAATGAATTATAACTAGTAAAGGAATTCAAAAGGGAGTTCGAGTCAGAAGCAAAAGGATTATCCTATCGAAGGATTGCTCTTTGGAATTGGTCAACTCTCAGCAACTCTCTCCCATTTTTTGCTTATTTCTGCATTTTTTTCCGAATTTTGTATCCTTGAACTTGAAGGGGGAGAAAGAAAAAGAGAAAATTGCTTGTGTTTTCCTTTGACAAGCATCATTCCGATCATAAATATGTTTATGTTTTTGAATAGGGAAAATTGTTTTGATTACAATGCCACATGGTGAGAAGGCCGAGTCTGACTGAAGCTACTCGTCCTCCCTATCCCCGTCCCTCCCTCTTTTCTTGGGCTCTCAACATGCGCTTGGCTCGACTTACGTATCGGACAAGCATTCCGCCGGGAAAGCAGGATGCGTGGCGCATCGCACGCGCATTTGCAATTAGAGAGTAAATATAATAATAGAAAGTCTAACTCCAACCTAACTCCAAAAGCTGGTCCTATTCTGTGATAAGATTTTATTTTGCAGTTAAAATTAATTGGAGCGGTACTAACTTTGTTTAAATCTGCAATCGCAGTTGTTCAAAAGGAATTTGAAAAAAACCCTGAATTCCAAAAAACTCTGAAATCGTTCACTCTTTGATTAATGTCGCTTTGGTAGTGAGTTCGCTCGACTGACTGTCATCTCAGCTTCATCAATCTCAAAAGGTACCGCTCGATATCTAACCTTTGGATCTCTAATGACCTTCGGTGGAGTAACGAGTTACTCTTTCATGCAGTAACTCGACGTTTCATCACCCTTTCTTACTGACTTTTTCAAATTCAATGGGCGGATAAGATCATGAGTAAGGCCTTGAACAATCCAAGGAAGATGCTCCAAGCACTTAAATTACTATAGAAAGGTGCTGCTCTGCAACTAAACTTGACACATTTATTTATTTTTTATTTATTCTAAAAACTTTCTGGGAGCACTTGCTGTTGAAGCTATTTTCCCACCCAAATTAGCCTGATCCCAACAATTTATAAAATCTGTGGAGAACTGTGCCTTCTACCAACAAGTGTAAAATACTGAGGATAGTAGTAAAGTCTTCTGATACTCTCACTTCTTCGCCAGCGTTTTTCGAACGGTCTGATAGTCGCTTTGGAACCTTCTAATGAAAGACGAAAATCAAAAACCTCGTGACTAGGTTCAGCAATCACACTCATGTACAAAAACATTTAAAATAGGTTTTCTTTCAAGCAAATTTTTCACGTTTTGACTGAATGTTTTCTATTTGAAAGTCCATTTCAAAGTGAGTACCGAAAATGTAAAATTGTTGAAGAAAACCGAACAGGCATAGGGTAGACATATTGACAACCATCCAAGCAGCAAGCAATCTGCAAAGGAATTACGGCCACCCCAACGGGTGCCATGGCAATAACCGTCTGAAAAAAAAGCAGGAAAGGAACGGAATGGAATGGGCAGGGGAATTGTCGGATTCCGCACATGGGAATAGAAAAGTAGGAAAATTCCAAAAATTGCCAAGTTCTACAAAAAATTCGTGAATATTAAAAAGATGCGGGGGCTTCTCAATTTTATTAGTGTTTGTTTTTTTNTTTTTTTATTTAGCTGCCTTGAATGCGTTTTTTTTATGGGGATCCTGTGCTTTACGGATTATTTTGTTATCTGTGGAGCTCTCTTCTGAAGTATGTTTCATGTACCGATCATGTAAGCTTAAAAGTAAATAAAATGATCAGTAGCTCCTTAGCACACACCTTTTCACTGAACTACAAAAACTTTGTGAAACTACTGGCCATTCGAACCTGCAGTTGCTATGTACTACTTCATTTTGGTCAAGTAGTCTTTAGTGACTAGTCAGCTTTTTTTTCAACTCATCCTCAAGGGGATGGAAAAGCGTTCAAATGGGCTGATTCAACTGTCGTTACATACGGAAACTGATACAGGATTTAAAGGCTATTGCTCCCCCTTATTACATTTCCCGAGTTCTCGCCTTTGGGCAAGTCACTACAATCATTTATTTTCATTTTGGTAAAAATCGTCATGGTAAGACAGAAGAAGCCTTGCGGGACCCCACTTTGGATCCTATAGTTTTCTCAAGGAACTTCCTCTCTTCCTGGAGTTTTTAGCGGTTCTCATCTGAGCCTATTAAAATCCATCATCATTACTTTTTGGGTATTGGTACTAAAGTTGCTACTTGGTGGTTTCCAATTGTTTTACTCACGGGTTGTTGCAGATGCAACAAAACTCGGAAACACTAAAGTATAAAGTATCGTACAGTAATATCATAAAAATGTCAAGTTCCATCATAAACTTAAAATGGTGCCTGTGACAATTTTGCGTGTTGATATGCTCGTTTGTAACGATAAAATAATAAAGATAGATAAAACACATGGAAAATTAAAAATAAATGGATAAAATATGTATTCAATTACTTACACACAGAACTCTCTTCAAAGACTAGAAGCTCGTACTGAAAATGCTGAGTGGCGATAGTACGAGAGTATGGGAAGGCTATACGGTAGTAAAAGAAAAAGAAGAAAATGTAGGAAGTCGTTCAGTTGAGTTTTTTTCGGAAAAGAAGTGCTTGCTTGGGACCAATTACAACTTGGAGGCAGCTGAGAGCATGAGAAGTTTATTGTAGTCGCGGTCGTAAACGGTCGAGTGATGTCGATTGACCCCGGCAGGGGCTGCTGCTGACCGCTGGGACGAGGTCGACGAGATACAGTGATAAAACAGCACATAAAAAGCGCACTAAAAAGCGACGTAGCAAGGGTCATTAGATAGAGAAAACATGGTCCGCTGAGGGCTAGGGAGCAGGCCTGCGCCGATAGAAAGTATAAGGGTGTGTTTGGAGATTTCAATATTATATTGTATAAACGTATAAACGAACTATCAGTCACAATTATTCGTAGGCAAAATACTTAAGATAGTTCTCAGAATAATTTTTGGGACTGAATATTAGTGTTTATGAATAAAAAATGCAAGTAATAAATATACTGCTCTACATATAAACTGTAGCCATGACGTTTAAGTGTAGAAATGCTATGGCACCCTATTTTGTAGCTAAAATTTGCGGATTTCCTGCACATTTTGCACCGTAATTTCTCGGCCCAGAGATGGTGCATAGAACCAAAAACTCAAATGTTCATGTACTTACGTCTGTCCGTGAAACTGAAACTGCGAGTATTGGTTCGCAGGGTTTGAGTGGCTTCAGAGACCAAATATGCAACAGGTTTACCTTCATGCACATGTACATTATTGTAGTCGTACTGTGGAACTGAGAATGTTTCCGGGTAATTCCAGTTTTCAGTCGCAACGAAATGCTTGGTTACTTACAGGTGCTTACGACCCATTGGTGATGGTATCGACTGGCAAAACCATGCCAGGAGTCCCCATAAGAGACAGGCGGCCATTTAGGGAAAGATTGAAGAAGCAGATGGGCTCAAGGCAGATCTGCTCGTTGTAGGACTTATGGCCCGCAGTTAGCAGCGATAGTATCTCATAGGTCGGATGAGAACTTCCTCGATGTTTCACAATTTTACGTAAGAGAAACCTGACACCTCTGTGGTCCCCATCTGGACTGATAACTTCTGCACAAAGGCTTTATCACTGTTTACTGGCTGAGTTACGGCATATTAGGTGATCAAAGGGAATTAGAGATGACCGTAAACGAGCGTCGCGTGTTGATGTGACACCTCTTTGATGCCCCGCCGACGGTCATCATCTCCCCAGAAAGCATCGCTGACCGCAGGTGATAGCCCCACCTCGAAGCATTCAGTCGCTACCTACCGTAATCTGGTAAGCTATCGGAAAGCTTCAGCAGGAACTGCGAAAGGGCAGTAAAGAAGCCGAGGTTTATGGGTGGTTCGTAAATTGCTTTCCACTCTGTTCGATGTCGAGGTTGACATAAACTGGAGATTTATTGTCTTGAAAAACTTCCATTTCCCTAGCCGAGTGGCCACTGGCTTTTTACGATCAAATCGGGCAAGCATCGAGTAGTATGAAGTAGGGTTCGTTCAAAAATTTTCTGAGGTGAAAGGGCTTAGTGCGGAATGAGAGAACTAACCAGGGAGGGGTAGTCTACTTAATGTGCGCTTTGAATGAAGACGCAGATGAATCGATATAGTTTTGAATGCAGTTTACGAGAATGGAAATTAAAACTGCAAAATGGTTTTCCTTAAAAAGTTATGAGGGCCCGAATTTTGCTTGACAGTAGTATTAATTGGATATACGAACTCGTCGCTTTACTATCAAGCGCCCACGTGGCCCGCGGTAGAGGTCTCGCTTCATTGCCTTAAAATGAGGGTTTGCTCCCCGACATCGACGGCTTTTTTGCAAAGTGTTTTTTCATTTCGTTAAAGGCTCTCTAACACTTTTCTGACGTTTCTTTGAGTGAACGTCTTATTTCTGCTTTTATTTCTTCTCATCGCCCTATCCAAGAAAAGTGGTTCTGCACATTTATTATATGACTCCTTTTTTGTTTTAAACTTCAAGGAACATTCAACAGAAAATACTAGAGATGTATAAGGTGCCTCCAAAAGACGTCTTGAGCCGATTGACTGTTTTGTCACCGGATGTAGAGAATCAGCATGTATAAGGTGTGCAGTTTGTGAACAACATGTGTGCTTCAGGCGTTTTTGAAAAGTTTTTCCATCATTGTTGAGTTTTTGTAGGCATCTTAGCCATCTCTAGCATTTTTCTTTTGAACGAGACCACTACCAATAGGCCACGTGGGCGCTTGATAGTGAAGCGACGAGTTCGCATACCCAATTAATATTACTGTCAAGCAAAATTCGAGCCCTCGTAACTTTTTAAGGAGAACCATTTTGCAGTTTTAATTTCCATTTTCGTAAACAGCATTCAAACCTCTATCGATTTATCTGGATCTTCATTCAAAGTCCCACATTAAGTAGCGTACCCCTCCTTGGTAAGTTTTACAATCTGATGGTTCTACAATTCAGACTCCTATTATTATTAACCAAATGCATGTACCACCTGTCGTACCGTTGATCATTGATCTCCTCGAGTGGCGCCAGTAATATCTCCATTCGGGCTGCTGCGAGCTGGCGCAGTCCAGTGGATTGTCCTCGCTTCTTCGCTTGGGGACATGAAGATCGTTCCTTTTCCGTCGTTTAAGTTTTGCTGAAGAAGTCTACCATCGCGCAGGAGGTCGGTCTGTGGAGCAAATTTCCAAGAATCGTTTTTTTTCTTTGTTGAATGGCAATGGCAGCATGTTCATGCTGCTTTCGTAGCGCCTAAGCTTCTGAAGTTCAAAGCACGAGGTATCACAGAGACGAAAAGATGAGCACGGAATCGGATGATCTTCGTCTCCATCACTAGCGGACCGCTGCTGCCGACCTTCTCTCCCAGACCTTCTCATTCCAAATAGCGCATGATGTTGCCTTTCGAGATGCAGTAACAGTTACGTAAGGACGACGAAGGGAAGTCATCTTGGTCTTATAATTAAGGAAGCTCCAGCGGGCTTCGCGATGCTCTTGTCAGCCTCGGCGGTTTCAGTCAAAACTGCTGGCTCTTCTCTCTTTAAGATTCTCCTTTATCCCCCTTGACATCCCTCATTTTTAATTCTGCCATGTCAAGCCTCTGAGGAATTCCTCACCTGCCGCGAAGAAGCTGTGCCGCATCACTTGTCTTCACCATTGCCTGGCTTCCAGCAAGGCATCCCTCACCATGAGCACTGCCGCGAAGAAGCTGTGCCGCATCACTTGTCTTGATTAGATTCGTGTTTTGTTGATATAGGGGCAGGTACTAGTTGAACTGTTTATCCCCCGTTAAGAACTTTAGGTAAAATATTATTTAGTTATTATTTAATAAACTGTTAAAATATAATTAATAAAAGTTGGTAACTAAGTTTATTTAATATAAATAAAAATATAAAAATTTTTATCATTTATACATTTTAAATTAACTTACTAATTTAAAAATTTTTTATTTTACATCAATTAGTAAAATTTTACGTTTTATTTTTATTTTAATCGCTTTAGAATTTTTAATGATAAGTTTGTTTATTAAGTTTATTGAATTTATAAGAGAAATAATGTTTTTTTATTTTATATGTTTTTCTGTAATTTCAAGAATCTTAGGTATAGTAATAATAGTGGGTAATATAAAGTCATTGCCTGGCTTCCAGCAAGGCATCCCTCACCATGAGCACTGCCGCGAAGAAGCAGTGCCGCATCACTT